TGGGATTTTTGCTCACCGTTCTTGTGATCATTTTGACCCCACGGGGTGAGATCTTGCGTGGAGCCCCAGATCGAGGGAGATTATCAGTGGTCTTGTATGTCTTCCATTTCCTAATAATTGCTCCCACAGTTGATTTCTTCAAACCAAGCTGCTTACCTATTGCAGATTCAGTCTTCCCAGCCTGGTGCAGGTCTACAATTTTGTTTCTGGTGTCCTTTGACAGCTCTTTGGGCTTGGCCATAGTGGAGTTTGGAGTGTGACTGTTTGAGGTTGTGGACAGGTGTCTTTTATACTGATAACAAGTTCAAACAGGTGCCATTAATACAGGTAATGAGTGGAGGACAGAGGAGCCTCTTAAAGAAGAAGTTACAGGTCTGTGAGAGCCAGAAATCTTGCTTGTTTGTAGGTGACCAAATACTTATTTTCCACCATAATTTGCAAATAAATTAATTTAAAATCCTACAATGTGATTTTCTGGAGAAAAAATTCTCAATTTGTCTGTCATAGTTGACGTGTACCTATGATGAAAATTACAGGCCTCTCTCATCTTTTTAAGTGGGAGAACTTGCACAATTGGTGGCTGACTAAATACTTTTTCCCCCCACTGTGTGTGTGTGATGGGATGTATAGATGTTATGGACAGTATATAGATAGAATTTGTAGTATATCTGAATAATACAGTGGGGAGAGTATTTGATACACTGCTGATTTTGCAGGTTTTCCTACTTACAAAGCATGTAGAGGTCTGTAATTTTTATCATAGGTACACTTCAACTGTGAGAGACGGAATCTAAAACAAAAATCCAGAAAATCACATTGTATGATTTTTAAGTAAGTAATGTGCATTTTATTGCATGACATAAGTATTTGATCACCTACCAACCAGTAAGAATTCCGGCTCTCACAGACCTGTTAGTTTTTCTTTAAGAAGCCCTCCTGTTCTCCACTCATTACCTGTATTAACTGCACCTGTTTGAACTCGTTACCTGTATAAAAGACACCTGTCCACACACTCAATCAAACAGACTCCAACCTCTCCACAATGGCCAAGACCAGAGAGCTGTGTAAGGGCATCAGGGATAAAATTGTAGACCTGCACAAGGCTGGGATGGGCTACAGGACAATAGGCAAGCAGCTTGGTGAGAAGGCAACAACTGTTGGCGCAATTATTAGAAAATGGAAGAAGTTCAAGATGACGGTCAACCATCCTCGGTCTGGGGCTCCATGCAAGATCTCACCTCTTGGGGCATCAATGATCATGAGGAAGGTGAGGGATCAGCCCAGAACTACACGTCAGGACCTGGTCAATGACCTGAAGAGAGCTGGGACCACAGTCTCAAAGAAAACCATTAGTAACACACTACGCCGTCATGGTTTAAAATCCTGCAGCGCAGGCAAGGTCCCCCTGCTCAAGCCAGCGCATGTCCAGGCCCGTCTGAAGTTTGCCAATGACCATCTGGATGATCCAGAGGAGGAATGGGAGAAGGTCATGTGGTCTGATGAGACAGTGTTTGGAGGAAGAAGAAGGATGAGTACAACCCCAATAACACCATCCCAACCATGAAGCATGGAGGTGGAAACATCATTCTTTGGGGATGCTTTTCTGCAAAGGGGACAGGACGACTGCACCGTATTGAGGGGAGGATGGATGGGGCCATGTATCGTGAGATCTTGGCCAACAACCTCCTTCCCTCAGTAAGAGCATTGAAGATGGGTCATGGCTGGGTCTTCCAGCATGACAACGACCCGAAACACACAGCCAGGGCAACTAAGGAGTGGCTTCGTAAGAAGCATCTCAAGGTCCTGGAGTGGCCTAGCCAGTCCCCAGACCTGAACCCAATAGAAAATCTTTGGAGGGTGCTGAAAGTCCGTATTGCCCAGCGACAGCCCCGAAACCTGAAGGATCTGGAGAAGGTCTGTATGGAGGAGTGGGCCAAAATCCCTGCTGCAGTGTGTGCAAACCTGGTCAAGACCTACAGGAAACGTATGATCTCTGTAATTGCAAACAAAGGTTTCTGTACCAAATATTAAGTTCTGCTTTTCTGATGTATCAAATACTTATGTCATGCAATAAAATGCAAATTAATTACTTAAAAATCATACAATGTGATTTTCTGGATTTTTCTGATTCCGTCTCTCACAGTTGAAGTGTACCTATGATAAAAATTACAGACCTCTACATGCTTTGTAAGTAGGAAAACCTGCAAAATCGGCAGTGTATCAAATACTTGTTCTCCCCACTGTACGTAGGATAGAATAGTATATATACAGCAATAGTTGAATGGGATGGACTTGACTAGAATACAGTATATACAGTGGCTTGCGAAAGTATTCACCCCCCTTGGCATTTTTCATATTTTGTTTCCCTTACAACCTGGAATTAAAAATTATTTTTGGGGGTTTTGTATCATTTGATTTACACAACATGCCTACCACTTTGAAGATGCAAAATATTTTTTATTGTGAAACAAACAAGAAATAAGACAAAAAAACAGAACTTGAGCGTGCATAACTATTCACCCCCCCAAAGTCAATACTTTGTAGAGCCACCTTTTGCAGCAATTACAGCTGCAAGTCTCTTGGGGTATGTATCTATAAGCTTGGCACATCTAGCCACTGGGATTTTTGCCCATTCTTCAAGGCAAAACTGCTCCAGCCCCTTCAAGTTGGATGGGTTCCTCTGGTGTACAGCAATCTTTCAGTCATACCACAGATTCTCAATTGGATTGAGGTCTGGGCTTTGACTAGGCCATTCCAAGACATTTAAATGTTTCCCCTTAAACCACTCGAGTGTTGCTTTAGCAGTATGCTTAGGGTCATTGTCCTGCTGGAAGGTGAACCTCCGTCCCAGTCTCAAACCTCTGGAAGACTGAAACAGGTTTCCCTCAAGAATTTCCCTGTATTTAGCGCCATCCATCATTCCTTCAATTCTGACCAGTTTCCCAGTCCCTGCTGATGAAAAACATCCCCACAGCATGATGATGCCACCACCATGCTTCACTGTGGTGATGGTGTTCTCAGGGTGATGAGAGGTGTTGGGTTTGCGCCAGACATAGCGTTTTCCTTGATGGCCAATAAGCTCAATTTTAGTCTCATCTGACCAGAGTACCTTCTTCCATATGTTTGGGGAGTCTCCCACATGTCTTTTGGCGAACACCAAACGTGTTTGCTTATTTTTTCTGGCCACTCTTCCGTAAAGCCAAGCTCTGTGGAGTGTACGGCTTAAAGTGGTCCTATGGACAGATACTCCAATCTCTGCTGTGGAGCTTTGCAGCTCCTTCAGGGTTATCTTTGGTCTCTTTGTTGCCTCTCTGATTAATGACCTCCTTGCCTGGTCTATGAGTTTTGGTGGGCGGCCCTCTCTTGGCAGATTTGTTGTGGTGCCATATTCTTTCCATTTTTTAATTATGGATTTGTAATGGTGCTCCATGGGATGTTCAAAGTTTCGGATATTTTTTTATAACCCATCCCTGATCTGTACTTCTCCATAACTTTGTCCCTGACCTGTTTGGATAGCTCCTTGGTCTTCATGGTGTCGCTTGCTTGGTGGTGCCCCTTGCTTAGTGGTGTTGCAGACTCTGGGGCCTTTCAGAACAGGTGTATATATACTCAGATCATGTGACACTTAGATTGCACACAGGTGGACTTTATTTAACTAATTATGTTACTTCTGAAGGTAATTGGTTGCACCAGATCTTATTTATGGGCTTCATAGCAAAGGGGGTGAATACATATGCACGCATCACTTTTCCGTTATTTATTTGTTTGAAGTTTTTTGAAACAAGTTATTTTTTTCATTTCACTTCACCAATTTTGGACTATTTTGTGTATGTCCATTACATGAAATCCAAGAAAAAAAACATTTAAATTGCAGGTTGTAATGCAACAAAATAGGAAAACGCCAAGGGGAATGAATACTTTTGCAAGGCACTGTATACATATGAAGTGGGTAAAACAGTATGTAAACATTATTCAAGTGACCAGTGGTTCCATGTCTATGTACGTAGGGCAGCAGCCTCTATGGTGCAGGGTTGAGTAACCGGGTGGTAGCCGGCTAGTGACAGTGACTAAGTTCACGGCAGGGTACTGGGTGGAGGCCGGCTAGTGATGGCTATTTAACAGTCTGATGGCCTTAAGATAGAAGCTGTTTTTCAGTCTCTCTGTCCCAGCTTTGAGGCACCTGTACTGACCTCGCCTTCTGGATGATAGCGTGGTGAACAGGCCGTGGCTCAGGTGGCTGAGTCCTTGATTATTTCTTGGCCTTCCTGTGACACCGGGTGCTGTAGATGTCCTGAAGGGCAGGCAGTGTGCTCCTGGTGATGCGTTGGGCTGACCGCACCACCCTCTGGATAGCCCTGCGTTTGCGGACGGTGCAGTTGCCATACTAGGCGGTGATACAGCCCGGCAGCATGCTCTCAATGGTGCATCTGTAAAAGTTAGTGATGGTCTTAGGGGCCGAGACAAATTCCTTCAGCCTCCTGAGGTTGAAGAGGCGCTGTCGCACCTTCTTCACTACACTGTCTGTGTGGGTGGACCATTTCAGATTGTCAGTGATGTGTACACCGAGGAACTCGAAGCTTGCATATGCATATCTGTATTCCCAGTCATGTCAAATCCATAGATTAGGGCCTAATGAATTTATTTCAATTGACTGATTTCCTTATATGAACTGTATCTCAGTAAAATCTTTGAAATTGTTGCATTTATTTTTTTGTTCAGTATAATTGTCACCCGATGTCACTAGTTTGCGTTGCCTTATGTAAGGAAGCATGTTGTTTTGCCTCCCCTGTTTGTTTGCTGTTGTTGTCTTCTATCTGTTTTTATTTATTTGTTATCCCCGTCCACACTGGAGGCCTCTTGCATGGCCGTCATTTTAAATACGAATCACTCACTTTGAGTACAGAGACTGGGTCTGGGAAACGGTGACCTTTGACCTCTCCGTGACCACCTCTCTCTTACCCCCTCATCTTTATTTCTTCCTCCATTCACCAACTCACCGCGACCACCTCTCTCTTGCGGGGGTCACATACGCGGAGGCGTCGGTCCTTACAGGTGGTGCAGAACAGGCTGCCGTTACGGTTCCAGCTGACGTTGTAGATGAGGTCTGGGTGGTCGTCCATGGAGATGAGCGCCTCGCCAGTTCCCACGTTCCAGATTATTATCAGGTTATCACTGCCTGGGGGGGGGGAGAGAGTGAGTGAGTGTGCGTGAGTGAGTGAGTGAGTGAGTGAGTGAGTGAGTGAGTGAGTGAGTGAGTGAGTGTGCGTGCGTGCGTGCGTGCGTGCGTGCGTGTGTGTGTGTGCGCGTCTGCGTGTGTGTGCGCGTCTGCGTGTGTGTACCTGCAGTGAGTAGTATGTTGCGTGCAGTGGGGTGCCAGGTGACAATGCCGACGCGTTTGGAGTGTCCCTCCAGGACCACGATGGGCTCTGATATGGGCCGGGTCCCCATCTGATCAGGGATCTGCCACACCTGCAAGGGGACACAATATAACTTAACACCTACAGGGGGACACAATATAACTTAACACCTACAGGGGGACACAATATAACTTAACACCTACAGGGGGACACAATATAACTTAACACCTACAGGGGGACACAATATAACTTAACACCTACGGGGGACACAAAAATACATTACACCTACAGTGAGGGAAAAAAGTATTTGATCCCCTGCTGATTTTGTACGTTTGCCCACTGACAAAGACATGATCAGTATATAATTTTAATGGTAGGTTTATTTGAACAGTGAGAGACAGAATAACAACAAACAAATCCAGAAAAACGCATGTAAAAAAATATATAAATTGATTTGCATTTTAATGAGGGAAATAAGTATTTGACCCCCTCTCAATCAGAAGGATTTCTGGCTCCTAGGTGTCTTTTATACAGTTAACGAGCTGAGATTATGAGCACACTTTTAAAGGGAGTGCTCCTATATAAAAGACACCTGTCCACAGAAGCAATCAATCAATCAGATTCCTAACTCTCCACCATGGCCAAGACCAAAGAGCTCTCCAAGGATGTCAGGGACAAGATTGTAGACCTATACAAGGCTGGAATGGGCTACAAGACCATCGCCAAGCAGCTTGGTGAGAAGGTGACAACAGTTGGTGCGATTATTCGCAAATGGAAGAAACACAAAATAACTGTCAATCTCCCTCGGCCTGGGGCTCCATGCAAGATCTCACCTTGTGGAATTGCAATGATCATGAGAACAGTGAGGAATCAGCCCAGAACTACACGGGAGGATCTTGTCAATTATCTCAAGGCAGCTGGGACCGTTGTCACCAAGAAAACAATTGGTAACACACTACGCCGTGAAGGACTGAAATCCTGCAGCGCCCGCAAGGTCCCCCTGCTCAAGAAAGCACATATACAGGCCCGTCTGAAGTTTGCCAATGAACATCTGAATGATTCAGAGGAGAACTGGGTGAAAGTGTTGTGGTCAGATGAGACCAAAATCGAGCTCTTTGCCATCAACTCAACTCGCCGTGTTTGAAGGAGGAGGAATGCTGCCTATGACCCCAAGAACACCATCCCCACCGTCAAACATGGAGGTGGAAACATTATGCTTTGGGGGTGTTTTTCTGGTAAGGGGACAGGACAACTTCACCGCATCAAAGGGACGATGGACGGGGCCATGTACCGTCAAATCTTGGGTGAAAACCTCCTTCCCTCATCCAGGGCATTGAAAATGGGTCGTGGATGCGTATTCCAGCATGACAATGACCCAAAACACACGGCCAAGGCAACAAAGGAGTGGCTCAAGAAGAAGCACATTAAGGTCCTGGAGTGGCCTAGCCAGTCTCCAGACCTTAATCCCATAGAAAATCTGGGGAGGGAGCTGAAGGTTCGAGTTGCCAAACGTCAGCCTCGAAACCTTAATGACGGAGAAGATCTGCAAAGAGGAGTGGGACAAAATCCCTCCTGAGATGTGTGCAAACCTGGTGGCCAACTACAAGAAACGTCTGACCTCTGTGATTGCCAACAAGGGTTTTGCCACCAAGTACTAAATCATGTTTTGCAGAGGGGTCAAATACTTATTTCCCTCATTAAAATGCAAATCAATTCATAACATTTTTGACATGCATTTTTCTGGATTTTTTTGTTGTTATTCTGTCTCTCACTGTTCAAATAAACCTACCATTAAGATTATAGACTGATCATGTTTTTGTCAGTGGGCAAACTTACAAAATCAGCAGGGGATCAAATACTTTTTTCCCTCACTGTATAGAGGGACACAAAATAATGTTACACCTAGAGGGCGACACAAAACAACGTTACACCTATAGGTTGCACCTCCGACACGTCATGCTATTGTTATAAACGTTCTCAAGCCGTGTAGAGCCCAGTCATTCTGAACGGAGGCTAATGACTGCTTTGCCTGGAAATACAATGACATTGCTAAAGTAGGCAAATATTTAGTAGGAAACAACTTTGCCCTCATCATCATGCTGTCAAATTTACTTTAGACCGATTGCAATGTTGTCATTAGCTAGCAATGTTCATCAAAAATAGCTAGCAATGCTAACATTAGCTAGCTAAATTCCGGTGGTCTCTCGTCAATCTTAGCTAGCTAGCTAACGTTGCACTGCATCTAAAATCAATCTGGCAACATCACAATGACAAAAGGTTTTCCTACTAATTATTTGTCTCCTTTAGAAATGTAATTGTATTTCCAAGCCACTGTAATGCACTTTAGATGAAATCTTCATCAGTGCCAGTTGACAATGCATTGAGCAGAACACTCAGTCGGGCATCAGTCCTAAAACGAATGTTCAAAACAATGTTCGTAAATTCAATCTGGAGTGCCAGAGTGCGCTCAGAGTGCGCTCTGGGCGTTCGTAAATTGAGAGCGTTTCACTCTCGGAGCGTTCAGAGCGCACACTGGACACTCTGGCCGGGGAGTAGGGTTGATCCGAGCGTCCTGACCTCACAACGGCATTCCAGCACCCAAGCTAACTGGCTAACGTTGTCTAGCTACTTCCAGACACAAATTAGTTTAAAACCTCACTCTCGCCCTAGCATAACTGGTTAGGCTGTTTTCATGTTATCCAGAGCGTTGGTGACTAACTGTGCTGCTGGCAACAATTTCATTACGTTTTTTTGCCGACGTTTACTGACACCGGCCATATTCAGCGGGTGTTGAGCGATCGTAAATTAATCAGTTATTCTGCGCTCTGGCACACTCAGACGAGAGTGCTCTGAAATCGGAGTAGATAGCCAGAGTAACTTTACGAACGCACCCTTACAATATAACATTACACACCTACAGGATGACACATTACAATGTTACACCCATAGAAATAGAATAACTAGAACGGGCTTGGAATCGCTTAGCCTGGCAATTTGGCTGGTAGGCTCATGGAGATATGCCACATCTATATTTATGTATGGGTAGACTCATGGCATTGAGGAAGAGGCAGAGCGAGAGGATCCACTCCTGTCAAAATGTGTCCACGCGGGAATATACCGATAAGCAGACCACCTGCCTCCCCGCCTTTGGGACAACGACTCCCATTGTCAAGGCGAAGACCATCTCGTCATTATATACAGTATCATGGGTACACTCGCAATGGCTGCTTGGTATTGTGATGCAACAATGTAAATGGTCATGTAGAATGTTCATTCAAATGATGCTAACTGACGTGGCTCATGCGATAGAATATATTTGAAGATGACAAGGGGAGAATCTCAATTGCATACTCCTCACATCTTCCCTCCTCCTTCCTCGCCTCTTTCTCAAAACCCATTGGATGAGAGGTCCCGTTGTGTCATCTTCAACCATAGAGATAGACAGAGGACTCGTCTTTATATCTGTGCCATTATAGTGTCTGTGACCGCATGGGCAGCAACATTTAGGCTCCAACCCATAGGAATCCCCACCCAGTTGACTGCTTTGACTACTTTAATAATATAATATAATAATATATGCCATGGCGGAAGCATGGTGGAAGCCCTCAATGACTCTTCCCATGCTAAAATGGACGTTTGGCCACTAGAGGCCTCTATCATCCTCTATGTCTTAAACCAACTGTAGCTTTTACTTCCTGCTTTGCTCCTATGGGTACACTCACAATGGCCGCCAGTCAACCCTTGAATCATTAACTTGAATGGAGACACCCGTTCAATTCATTCTATTGTTACACCTACACAGGGACACAATACAATGTCACACCTAAAGGGGGACACATAATGTTACACCTACATGGGGACACAAAATAACATTACACATGGGGACACAAAGAACATTGCTATGACCTAATTCTAATACTATATCTTATAGAATGTTTTTTCCATACTATTTCGTATAGTGAATTCTGAAGTATGAGAAAATTCACAAAATGAAATGTGCCAAAATCCCTTGTTTGCATCAACACGTTCCCTCTTTGATAAACCCAGAACACAAGCACACACACACACACTTGTCCTTGTGCTGCCCTTGTGATGCAAGGTCTTGGTGGACTGTAGCACTAGGAGGTCTGATAAACCACATTCCTTGCACACACACGCACACACAACTTTGATATCTCATCCCTGCTCATCCTGAGAGGCTCTGTCATCTGATTGGTGGATGAGGCAGAGGGGTATTCAGGGGAGCTGTGTTAACACATGTTTATAAATACCAACCAGCCGTTACCCCAACAACCCAACCCCGCCACCCCCCTCTTGACCGCCCGCACCCCACCCCCCTGCACCCCTACCCACCACTCATCTCTCCTATACCTCCCTCCATCCACCTAACATGCCATCCCTCCAACACCACCCACCTTTCTATTCTCCCACTGAGTCCTCTTGTCATAAGTGTGAGGCCACGTAAGGGGTTTAGGCAGAACACCGGGGCTAACACCCCTACACCACAGTACTGTAGTACTCCTCATGAGACAAGCGCCATGTGATCCATACTGACCACAGAGAGTCAGGGCCTTGGTTTAACAGCTCATTAGATGAACAACAGTCCAGGGCCAGTTCTTAAAAAACACTGACAGTTGATACATTATATTGTTTAGCTATGATATGCAATATAACACACTCACACACAGGCTGCCAGCCTTACCATGGCGGTGGTGTCCTCTGAGCAGGATGCCAGGATGTTGTCGTTGTGAGGGCACCAGTCGATGTCCAGGACAGGCCCAGCATGGCCAGTCACCAACGGGTGGTTCTTATCCAGACGACCCATCTACATCACACAGGACAGACAGGCATCACAGCATCACATTACTGCAATATACATAGTACACTCTAGTTAGAAAACTCTACATTCTAGCAACAGCAATACAAATGTTGAAGTTATGCCCACCATCTTAGAAGATTGCTATATAATATTGATGTGGTTCCTGAGATGTTAAACGTCTGATAATCTGCACAGCAGGACTGCAATAAAGACTACCTGGAATTCAAACCATAATTACACAATGCATAATACAGTGGGGGAAAAAATATTTAGTCAGCCACCAATTGTGCAAGTTCTCCCACTTAAATGATGAGAGAGGCCTGTAATTTTCATCATAGGTACACGTCAACTATGACAGACAAAATGAGAGAAAAAAAATCCAGAAAATCACATTGTAGGATTTTTAATGAATTTATTTGCAAATTATGATGGAAAATAAGTATTTGGTCAATAACAAAAGTTTCTCAATACTTTGTTATATACCCTTTGTTGGCAATGACACAGGTCAAACGTTTTCTGTAAGTCTTCACAAGGTTTTCACACACTGTTGCTGGTATTTTGGCCCATTCCTCCATGCAGATCTCGTCTAGAGCAGTGATGTTTTGGGGCTGTCGCTGGGCAACACAGACTTTCAACTCCCTCCAAAGATTTTCTATGGGGTTGAGATCTGGAGACTGGCTAGGCCACTCCAGGACCTTGAAATGCATCTTACGAAGCCACTCCTTCGTTGCCCGGGCGGTGTGTTTGGGATCATTGTCATGCTGAAAGACCCAGCCACGTTTCATCTTCAATGCCCTTGCTGATGGAAGGAGGTTTTCACTCAAAATCTCACGATACATGGCCCCATTCATTCTTTCCTTTACATGGATCAGTCGTCCTGGTCCCTTTGCAGAAAAACAGCCCCAAAGCATGATGTTTCCACCCCCATGCTTCACAGTAGGTATGGTGTTCTTTGGATGCAACTCAGCATTCTTTGTCCTCCAAACACGACGAGTTGAGTTTTTACCAAAAAGTTATATTTTGGTTCCATCTGACCATATGACATTCTCCCAATCCTCTTCTGGATCATCCAAATGCACTCTAGCAAACTTCAGACGGGCCTGGACATGTACTGGCTTAAGCAGGGGGACACGTCTGGCACTGCAGTATTTGAGTCCCTGGCGGCGTAGTGTGTTACTGATGGTAGGCTTTGTTACTTTGGTCCCAGCTCTCTGCAGGTCATTCACTAGGTCCCCCGTGTGGTTCTGGGATTTTTGCTCACCGTTCTTGTGATCATTTTGACCCCACGGGGTGAGATCTTGCGTGGAGCCCCAGATCGAGGGAGATTATCAGTGGTCTTGTATGTCTTCCATTTCCTAATAATTGCTCCCACAGTTGATTTCTTCAAACCAAGCTGCTTACCTATTGCAGATTCAGTCTTCCCAGCCTGGTGCAGGTCTACAATTTTCTTTCTGGTGTCCTTTGACAGCTCTTTGGGCTTGGCCATAGTGGAGTTTGGAGTGTGACTGTTTGAGGTTGTGGACAGGTGTCTTTTATACTGATAACAAGTTCAAACAGGTGCCATTAATACAGGTAGTGAGTGGAGGACAGAGGAGCCTCTTAAAGAAGAAGTTACAGGTCTGTGAGAGCCAGAAATCTTGCTTGTTTGTAGGTGACCAAATACTTATTTTCCACCATAATTTGCAAATAAATTAATTTAAAATCCTATTAATTCACATACTACATTTGTGGTTTTTATTTTATTGATACCTGAAACACACGCCAAGAACATACGCTTTCCTGACCAATGATGTCACTTCCTGTGCTATTCTACCGCTTCCTTTTCTGTTAGTGTGAACAACGTGTCTTCACCCCCATCACACACACACACACACAAACCCTACCCCCCTGAGGTGTGTATTTATAGCAGTGTGAGGAGGTGTTGAAAGGGGAGTTTTTCTTTTGGCTCGCCAGGGACCCTGTGCAGGGTGGATAGAGAGCTACACAGATATATATAGACTGACTGACTCGCCAGCCCTCTAATGTACAGTGGGATCTGAAATGATAAAGATGAGGAAAACAGACTGTTTCAAATAATACAACTACTGAGCTATATTGTATCCTCAACTAAAATGGGGAAATTATATTATACCAATACGATTTCCCAGAGAAAGAGATTTTGTTTAACAAGTAATCCTTTCGACACCAAACCCACCACTGGTCTGCGTGGCCAAAGAGCTCTATTTTCATGTCATCTGACCAAAGCACCGGTTCCAATCCAAGTGCAAATGCCGTTTAGCAAACTCCAGCTGTTTACATTTGTTGGATGACATGAAAATATAGCTCTTTGACCAGAGGTGGTTTTGGCGTCAAAATGAGAACGCATGAGCAGAAAATAACCCCATACCTTCTGTAAAATATGGTGGTGGATCTTTGATGTTATGGTCAACGACATCACAAACTTTACCCAGTACCAGGACATTTTAGCCAAAAACCTGGTGGCCTCTGCCTGGAGGCTGAAACTAGGCCACAAGTAAATCTTCCAGCAAGACAATAACCCCAAGCACACATCAAAATCCACAAAGAAATGGTTAGTTGGCCACAAAATCAACATTTTGCAATGGCCGCCTCAGTCTCTGGACCTGAAACCCATTGAAAACCTGTGGTTTGAATTGAAGAGTGCAGTCCGTAAGTGCAAACGAAGGATATGAAAAGGATCTGGAAGGATTCTGTATGGAGGAATGGTCTAAGATCCCTCCCAATGTGTTCTCCAACTCATAAAACATTTGAGAAAAAGTCTCAGTGGTATTCGAAAGGTGAGTTATTGAAAGGTATTGAAAACAGGGGTGTCAATTTATGACCCCTACCTTTTTGAGAAAAAAACATTACTTGTTAAACATTCTCTTTCTCTGAGCAAATGTATTAGTATAAAATAATATAATAAAACAATAGAAAATAGCATACAATACAACTCAGTATTTGTATTTATTTTATAGTCATTTTTGCTCATCTTTATTAAGGATATCGTACCCCAGAGTATAACCATGTCTCTCTCTCCCTGTCTCCCACTCCTTTTCCCTCTGTCTGTCCAGCTCTCTAATATACAGTATAACCATGTCTCTCTCTCCCTCTCACTCCTTTTCCCACTGTCTGTCCAGCCCTCTAATATACAGTATAACCATGTCTCCCTCTCCTTCTTTCCCACTCATTTTCCCTCTGTCTGTCCAGCCCTGTAATATATATAACTCTCCTCACTCTGAAGTGAAGAGGACATTCAGCAACTTCAATTCGCTCCTCAATTCATACACCTTGGTTGGAGAGCGAGGTAGCGGCAGTCTCTCTGTCTCTGTCTCTCTCTGTCTCTCTGTCTGTCTCTCTCTCTCTCTCTCTCTCTCTCTCTCTCTCTCGCTCTGTCTGTTACTAATAGACAGACAGTTGTTCAGATTTACTGTCAGTATCAGAGACCAGAATATGTCTGCATCAATGTGATGTTCCCCAGCCCCAAAACCCTGTTCAGTGGTCACTGCTTAGAGCGAACGCTTGTGAGAATCTGTAGGCCCGATGGCCCCCAAGGAATCAGGGGTGTCAGTTGGGTATAGCAGGGTATAGCAGGGTACCCCACTGGGCAAAAACTGGTTGAACCAACGTTGTTTCCATGTCATTTCAACCCAAAAAATGTGACTGATTGGATTTGAAAAAAGTCATCAACGTAAGGTAACTTAGTATTTTTTTCACCCAACTTTTAACCTACATCTAATGACATGGTGAAATGTTTTGTTGATTTAACGTTGAATTCACGTTAGCTGACAACTCAACAAAATGTAAATCAAAACTATACGTTGAACTGACTTCTGTGCCCAGTGGGATGACAGTCTCCATACCCTAGCTCAAGACCAAAAATGTAAAAGTAGGCTACAAGAAAGTAGAATAAAATCATTCCAATCCCGATTGAAATGCAACGTCTGTCTCGCGTATCGGGTGGCTGGCTTTAGGACCATGCGGAGCATCGCTCGGAGAGAAGCTGCTTGCCTGCATGCCTTTAACTCAGCAGAGAGCAGAGAGAGTGCTGTTTATGCAAGGGTTACTTTCACATTGACGACAGCATAGGCGGGGCGTCCAATAGGCTAGGGGAAGATAACCAAACAACTGTGCTGGCATCCTCCTTTAGAAGACCTTCACTTGAAAAACTAGAAAAAGAACGCAATAGTACTGTTTGTCCATTTTGAGACGCCGTAGCCAGTATACACTTCCTCAAAATAGTCCGAATTAATCTAAGATAACTCAAGAAAGCTGTCATTAATTTTGACGTTTTTGCAGAGGAGATCTTAGTCACGCAATTTTATATCTAACTAAGAGGTTTGGTGCAGGATTTCTCAATGAAAAAATGTGCATGTAAATGAGTCATCCCTCGTTGACTGACAACAAAGACGTTATTGATGAATCCCTACTGTTGACCAATCACCGACAAAGGGGCGTAGACGTCGGCTCTGAACTTCAGCTTGTTGCGTGTCCGAACAGCCGAACAGTTAGTTTTGGACTCACTGAAGTCCAAAACGAACCAAAACGTCACAAAATGTCGTCGTAATATATGCACAAACACTTCCGTCTGGGAAGCATGCGGACGCCTTTAGACAGGGGGACCTGCCCTGTCTAAGTGAAGGAATGGAAACCCTGCTTCAGGTAACACCTTGCTGTGTGAGGGTAGACTGAGAAGAGAGCAAGGTCTGCACAGCACCGACAGTAACACCTCGGGAGCTTTGTCCTCCAGGGACACACAGGAGAACTCAGATAACAACAACTTCAACACCACCATAAGAGTTACAGCTGAATTCTTTCCCTAGCAAGGACATCTATACACTCAACGAAGGGCACCATACGTTCCCTGTTACAAACACAAAAAGAATAACAAGGCAGCTTGCTTGGAACTCTATTGCTGCGATGCAATACATCTATTACTGTAATTAGCTAACTTGTAGACAATAAGCTGCCTTTATCATAAGGCAAACACTGATATAAAAATCGAACTTAACCTCTAATGGCAACTATTATCTTAGCAGTCTAGAACTTTATAAATCCTCTAAGTATCTGTCTTGGCAGGTTTTACTAAACAGGTGGTTAGTTAGTCTGAGCTTTCAGTTGGTTGTAGGAACAATCCTCTCCAGTCAGTCAGCGTATCCTAAAGAGAGAGCAGTGTACTTAAAGGCCAGACTAAAAGTTTGGTTCACACCAGGTACAAAGTTTCAACCTGTTAGTTTTTTTAGAGGGGAGTGAGATAAGCTACAAACATGGAACTGTGTTAATCTATACTTATCTAGATTATCTCCTTCTAACATATTTTTTATTTATTTTGATCTATTGTTTATGTGTGTTATTCCCTGTGGAAAGAAACTGGTGCAGAACTTTGCTCTGTTGCACAAAGAAAACACTTGGTGAATCTGGCTCTAGAGAGAAGGACGAAACCTGAGACTTGGGGGTAGAATGGGTGTAGAGGGGGGGTAGAGAGCAGTTAGAGGGGGGAGGGGGGGGGGGTATTTTATCTCAGCCTCATGGCAAAATGTGTAAAATAGCATGAAATTAGCTATAAAAATGCACATTTTTCTCTATGCCTCATAGGGGAGCCGGGGGGCCTTGCTTGGACCTTGGGGGGGGGTCCTGCGAAACGCCACTGATTAGAAGTGAACTCTCACACAATAATGACTGAATACAAAACTTTTGAATTGACCTCAATTGTATCCACACAATCAATGCTGTTCCCAACACAGTCCCGTTCAACTGTCCAACCCTCAGCACAGAAAGCTCATCATGTTCTAAATATTAAGTTAAATCATCTCTAAGGAACTTCAAACCAAGGCTGGAATTCAAACAAACCTACATCGCACTGCAATTGACTTTTAAAGGACATTTCCCAGACTTTAGCAGAGATCACATTCGCTGTCAATGACACCGACATCGTCTGAAGCATAAATTACCTTTAAAAGTAAAGTACAGTGCGATGTCGGTGCATTGTGTTTTGTTGATTTGAATTTGTCCCACATTTTTTTACATGGTGAGTTTTCCCTTTGGTTGGCAGTGGCTATTAAATGAAGTTAGTACTAGTAGTGGCTTCTGAAACAAATCTGAACCATGGATGACGGTCTATCGGCCCATGGACTGCTTTCAGGACAAGTTAAAAAATACAGGTAAAGGTCAAAAACCGATATCCCTTAAAGCGGCAATCAGCAGTTGAAACAATAACAAAGCCAACACCCCGCCCCTGGTTCTGTAAAAAGCTGAGGGATGGGGCTGGAGAAATGTAATCACGCTGAAATTCATAGACAGCTATGGATGCAAGGACAGACCATCCATGATATCAACATTATAGTTTTAACCATGTTTTGAGGCTATATAGTGTTTTATTTACATTTACTTTGTTTACAAACAAGCTTCTGATGGGGTACAACAGTTGAACTAAGCTCATAAGGCATTTATATGTTAAATTATTCAAGAATCAATGGGTATATATAATTTAATTTATAAGTTTAAAAATTGACGTAGCAACTGCAGATTACCCCTTTAATGGTTGACTGACCTCCAGCCCTATCCCTCAGCTGTTTACCAAAAGAAGTGGCAGGGTGCCTGCTTTGTTGTTGTTTGAATCCCAGACTGACTGACCTTAGAGAGGGGCAAGACGAGGAAGGCTCCGCCCCCGCTGGACTCCACAATGACGGCCAGGAACTTTGGGTTGACGGCACAGAACGAGCTGTCCCACGTCACCTTGGAAACGCGTATGTCATCGTAGCCCTGCTCCGTCTTCCCAGCCTGACCGAAGACGTGCCGGAACTTACTCTGTCTTACGATGCTGCGACTCATCGCTACGGAGACAAGGAAGGGAGGGGGTATAGATGGAGAGAGAGATGGAAAGAGGAAGAGTGAGAGGGGCGACGAGGAGGGGGGTGTGGGGGGTAAGAGAGATGGAAAGAGGAAGAGTGAGAGGGGCGACGAGGAGGGGGGTGTGGGGGGTAAGAGAGATGGAAAGAGGAAGAGTGAAGGAGGGAAAAGTGAGTGAATGAGGAAGTGACAGTTACAGATATGCAATGTCAATCAATCAAACATTTATCAATCATTAAATAAATCATGAAATACTTATTGACCAAGAGAGGTAATATCAATCCAACTTGAATCATGTGAATCATGGGACTGATCTCACCTCTTCCATTGACAACCTATGCCTCTTGGCATTCTGCTAAACACACACAATGTTATACTAGGATGGACGTGTCAAAAGTCAAGTTGAGTTGTTATGTGTCTGATGTACTGTTGTCATGTTGTTGTCCTGGGCAACGGGCCAGAACAATGTAAGCCGTGAAAACACAGGAGACACATTCTAGAACTCTGATGATCCATCAGTACAGATATAAATAGTGCGATTGTCCCACACAAACACCCACACATGCACGCATGCACTCACATATACACACACGCACACACACAAACACAGCAGATGAAGATATGGGATCAGACCACAAGAGAAATGAATGAAGCATTAAGACAAGATATAAACGCCAGCTGCAGTAGTCTGTATGTAACTTAATACTAGATATAATTAAGTATGTAGGACATATGTATATCTATAATAAACAGAATATTTTCTGTATATAAGGAAATGAAGGGGATGTATACATGGACACACACATACAGAAGAAAGGTTATAGACTGGCACTAAAACCCATATCCAAAATTACCCATCTGTCCCTGCAGACAGGAGCCCAGGAGAATTAGGACCTGAGCAATCTCTCTGAAAGGTGAAATGAAATACTGTAGTAAAACAACTCTCAGTTCAGAGAAGAAAGTCAAGTTATGTTTCTCTGTAGTACCTCCTGGCTGTGGGGACTTTTGGAAATTGAGACCTTTTTGGAGACCGAAACATTGGCAAATAAACGCACAGAGCAGCATAGAATGCAGTGTGCAGTCTCTTTTCACCTGATGATACTGGACTACTGGGGATGAACAAACCAGTCCTGTCAATCATGAGTCCTTGGTGTAATAATGGTTCTGATATTGACTCAATCAACCACAGTTTCCAGGAACAACTGCCCTTCAACTAAGCTCTTACTATCAGGTAGATGCCAAAAAAGTAGTCCAAGACTTGAATCCATTGAAAGTACCTGTAAATCCAGAACTACAGAATTAGGCTTAATCTGTTTCCAAGAAAACAGCTAGATATGTGCTCACCCAAGTGCTTTATGATTTTGCCACAGCATTCAGAAAGTATTCAGACCTGTTGACTTTTTCCACATTTTGTTACTTTACAGCCTTATTCTAAAATTAAATTGTTCTGCCTGTGTCTGTCTCACTGTCTGTATGTGTCTCTCTAGCTCTCTCTCTCCTGTCTGTCTGTCTGTCTGTCTGTCTCAATGTATGTCTGTCTGTCTTTCTTTCTGTCTGTGTCTCTGTCTGTCTGTAGTTGTGATAGGCCTCAGCTCTTATTTTCTCTGCTCTGTTCTGGCATGGCTCTCCAGACAGAGCAGAAGAATGACACGGTCACTTTCCTAATATAGACATGCCAAACCGTCCGTTCCCACCCCCAGCCCTAACCCCTACCCCTCTTGGGCTCTGGGGAGAGGGCCTAACCGTCCCAAATTGTACAATGAAACAGATCTCCCTGATCTGTCAATGACAAGAATATTGGCGAATAAACACAAATACACATATGTACGCACATATACATACAATCCTTATGCGCGTACGCGCAAGCACGCACACATCTGGAAACCTACCACAGTAGCCTAATAGTGTTACCCCTATAAGGAAAGAAGGGGGGGCACTCCCCCCCTCCCTCTGGCCCTACACAACGTGCTCCATTTGGTTCAGCAGTCACAACTTAAAGCTCGACACTGTCCGCGAAGAAAAAGAATGGTCACAATGTCACAATCAATGACTTTCCCAGCATTACGCACACACTGGCAATGCGGTAAAAGAAGCTGTCGCAGCATTCAACTGCGGCGTCGACGGTTATTAAGGATAGTAAAACACGGCTGCTTTAGGTCAATTGAGGCAACTCACTCAGCTCGGTATTTGTTGTGTATCTCCACCGGTCGTTCGCCCTCGGAATTCTCCTATCCCCCTTCCCTTGGTAGTTTTCTGTTCTCGGTAACGCTCCGTGCTTATTGGAGTGTTTTTTTCTGGTTCTCTGTGGTCCAGTTTTGTACACTTGGTGCGGACTTCGCGGAGGGCGCGAGGTACAACTATGACGCGGCGAGAGGAGCGAGAAGGGAGGGGGTCTGAAATGGGGGACAGAGAGAGAAGGGAGGTGATAGGGAAAAGGGATCAAAGCGGTCCCGTCTATTTTCGAAAGGCCCTGTCTGGCTATCTCTCGCACGCCGGTGACAGAGCTATAGGTTGAGCTGCGACCACGCGCCGGAGTCAGGTGGTCACTGGCCAGGCTGTGCCACACAAGCGCGTGAAGATAGAGGGAGATAGCGGCGTACATTAAAACTTAGACGACCTGCCATGATTGTGAACTATAGTCTTCTTATAAACTGTCAGATAGGATATGGCCATTAATTAATTATTTAGCCTATTAATATATATATTTTTCCAAATGTATAGCCCATATGGGCCAATACACTTTGCTTTCCAAGACTGCTGTTTCTAAACTATCCAGGGTGAGACCGGATAACAGGCCGACATAAATTCCGTGGGCTACTAGGTCAGTCAGTGGCACAACGGACAACTGTCACTCCGTTACAAACTATCATCTGTCCTCCTTCGGTTTGACAGCTGCGCGCAGCTCCAGACCAGTGCTGAAATGAGATGTACTGCTTGCACCCAGACCTAGTGCTGAAATGAGATGTACTGCATGCACCCAGACCTAGTGCTGAAACGAGATGTACTGCATGCACCCAGACCTAGTACCAGTAGAGGGCGACAAACGCAGCACTGGCCAGTTCCTCTAATTAAGCTAAAGGAATAGTTTACACAAATTAGTAGGCATAGTGAAGTCTATGGGCCAATAAAGACTGTAATCCACGATTTGTTCACCTCTTCAGTTCACTTTATAGGTCTTAAAAAATACAATAAAAATGTACAGACAACATGACAACAGGTCACACAACAGACAAGAAGAACTAAGCAGAGAACACTAGGAAGTAGTAATAATAATAATAATAATAATAATATGCCATTTAGCAGACGCTTTTATCCAAAGCGACTTACAGTCATGCGTGCATACATTTTTTTTGTGTATGGGTGGTCCCGGGGATCGAACCCACTACCTTGGCGTTACAAGCGCCATACTCTACCAGTTGAGCTACAGAGGATACCAATTAACGCCTGCCTTTATGGCTATAGGCCAATAAGAATGACAGTGATATCAACATATGATTATTCATGTTTACTTATCAATACGACTTCGACTCATCTGCCCTGGGCTCTTTCTGTAATTTCTGGGCTACCCAAGAGGAAACGCTGGCGTTACAGAGGCAAGAGAGGGGGGATCATGGCGAGATTAAGGCAAAGGGAAAACCGGCCACCTCTTCCCTCCATTCTACTGGCAAAGATGGATGACCTCCCATCGCGGATTTGCTACCAACAGGACTCTCAAATGCAATATTCTTTGCTTTTCTGAAACATGGCTCTCGGACAAGATACCCCCCATGGCTATCCAACTCGATGGATTCTCCATTCACCATGCGGACAGGACAGTGGAGTCAGGGAAATAGAGAGGGGGAGGGGTTTGCCTCTTCATCAACAACAACTGGTGTGCTGACTCGAGCGCAGTGGAAGTGTCGACCGATTGTTCACCCATCTAGGAATACCTGATGGTCAAATGTTGACCATTCTACCTCCTGAGGGAGTTTTCAGCTGTTATCGTGACTATTGTATACTACGGTTACGGCTGAGGACAGGAACAAGTACAAGAAGTCCTGCTATGACCTCCACAGAGTCATCAAACGAGCAAAAAGACAATATAGGAATAAGGTGGAATCATATTACACAGGCTCCGACGCACGCCGCATGTGGCAGGGGCTACAGTCCATTAGGGATTACAAAGGAAGACCCAACCGTGATCTGCCCAACAATGCCGCTCTACCAGACGAACTCAATGCATTTTTTGCATGCTTCGACAATAACAACATCATGCCGGGTGTGAGGGCCGCCACAGACTGAGAGGATTGGGTGATCTCGCTCTCCGAGGCCAATGTGAGTAAGGTCTTTAATCAGTTCAACACCTGTAAGGCCGCGGGGCCCGACGGTATTCCAGGGCGCGTTCTTAGAGCATGCGCAGAACAGCTGGCAGGCGTATTCACTGTCCTTTTCAACCTCTCCTTGTCCCAGTCTGTAATCCCCACAGGTTTTAAGATGACCACCATCATTCCTGTTCCCATGAACTCTGAGGCTTCAGCCACAATGACTACCGCCCTGTAGCACTCACATATGTAATCATGAAGTACTTTGAGAGGCTGGTTATGGCACACATCAACTCCATCATCCCTAGACCCACTCCAATTTGCATACTGCCCCAACAGATCCACAGACGACGCAATCTCAATTGCACTCCACACTGCCCTCACCCACCTAGATAACTGGAATACCTATGTGAGAATGCTGTTCAGCGTTCAACACCAATGTCCCCGCCAAACTCGTCACCAAGCTTAGGACCCTGGGACTGAACACCTTCCTCTGCAACTGGATCCTGGACTTCCTGACGGGCCGACCCCAGGTGGTGAGGGTAGGCAACATCACCTCCGCTACACTGGCCCTCAACACTGGGGCCTCACAGGGGTGTGTGCTTAGTCCCCTCCTGTACTCCCTGTTCACCCACGACTGCATGGCCACGCACGACTTCAACACCATCATCAAGTTTGCTGAC